AAATAGGTAACTGCCTTCTTGTGACTCAGAGTGGAAACAAATGCACCATCTCAGAGGGAAGCTGGCCCTGTGCAGAACCACCTTGGGTGTTTGGGTACCTCCTCCCAGGGATGGGAGGGGCAGCAGTGACTCCTGGAGTAAGCGAGGTCTTTAGAACTCCAGCACTGGCTCCTCATGAGCCCTTTCCCTCCATCCCTGCTGTTCACAAGGCTAATGAAGCCACATGCTGCGGTGCACAAATGCAGATACAGGTTGAGCCTGTTGCTCCCATCCTGGAGAACATGGTGTTGGCAGAGCTCAGGGGCCTTGTCCAGGATGTGACCTGGATGGAGCTGCCTCCATTTGCTCAAGCCCTACCTGAGGTAATTGCCTTAATCGTCCTTTGGAAGCCCAGGCAGAGACCCAGCAGTGGTGGACCAAGTGAGAGTTAAATCTAAAAATGGGCCCACTGGGGGTTTATTTTTAACTTCTTGTAGAAATAGTGGGGCAGCTGTATTTATTAGAGGTTTCCAACCATCCAGGTTACCTAATGGTCCCCCACCCACTGTGGCTACAGATAATGGGGTGCTTCCTCTAGAATAAATAATTGCTTCTACTTGAAATCAAGAAGGGCAGATGCCTGAATTGTGGTTCATCAAGTTGTTTTATCCGAGGCCCTGCACATCCTTAATGTGTGGCATGTTAAAAAGTTGGCTATCAGTAGGCAGGGAGTGTCAAGGAGAAGAAGCAGTGTTAATTGGAGATATCTGTGCTAAGTGTGCAAGCGGGGCAGGCTGAGATCGTGAGGACCAGGGCAGTTGGTACAAGCTTCTGTGCATCCCTCTTGACAAACCTCACTTCTTAGTTCCTTCTAATGCTGCAAAATGGGCATTTAAATTCTCTGCCAGGTCGGCTATTCATCACAAACACATTGAAGCTTAATTGCTAATTAATTTTCCCTAGATAATGTAGATATATTTTTTTCTCAGTGTGCGAAATCTAGAGTAACTTTCTGAGAACCAGCCACAAACGAGTTGACTATAATTGGTGTTCTCTCACTTAGGTGAGAAGTAACAGTTCATCAACTCTTAATTAGCTTGGACTTTTTCGAGAGCAGTTTCCAATTTTTTGACAGAAAGATACACACCTTGTTTCTCCTGTAGTGAAACAAAGAAAGTCATTTCACCTTGGATTGACAAATGGGGCTGTGTTTGTTGGTGTTTTCTTCCTGGTGATGGTGAGTGCCAAGCGGCATGTCACACCCGGATTGCTGAGCAATTTATTCAGGTAGTGTTGCTTGTCACAGAGAAGAGAGCACTGATTGTACAAGAAAGAGAGTTTGAGCTCACGTTAATTAAATTGTGAATGGGTAACTAGCAGCGCTTTGAGTGATACGTTAAGATATAGAGTAGCTTTTAGATATCTCATTAGCACTGGAGAAACTTTGTATTTTGTGTCTGTTGTAGGCAAATGCTATTTCTGTTGATTGTACAGGTAGAAAGGCTGTGGCACCAGAAAAATGAAGCCACCTCAGATTAGTCAGTCCTGAAAAAGTGTCCCGCCAAGACAAATTGTCTGCCTGGCAGTTATCTACCTGACTTGTGAACCTGGGAGATGCTGAAGGCGAAGGTGACCATGCAACAAGAAATGGTGATATCGCAGCAGGATCAGCCCCGAGTTGGCACCCAGCAGGTGGGCTGGGAGCTGGGGGCTGCAGCAGCCCTGACATGGGCTCATGCTGCTAGGATCTCCTTAGCCCGGGCTCACATGCAACTCTAGGGCAGGAGAGAAATGCTAGATGAGAAGCTCCCAAACAGTAAATCATCCTCTGTCAGCCTCTCACCTGTTAGTGGAGTAGCCAAAATTTCCTAGAAGTGGGGGTACACAACTGCTGGGGGCCAGAGCCATGGCTGTAAGAGGGGATACTTGAGCACTTTGCAGAAGCAGAGCAGTCTGCGTAGAGGCCGATGAATCAGGGTTACCAGGATGGTGCTGTGTATGCACCAGTAACACTTGCCGAGTTTTAATTGCTGATTGTACAATTATTCAGTGTAGATGATGCCTTTTGGTAAAAGGAAAGCTCTCACCTGTGTTAGCACCCTGCAGATCAGAGTGGTAATTTTGTCACAAGAAAAAATCGCCGTGTGCTGCTGTCTTTGGGATGAGTGATGGCTGGACTGTTGGAGTGGGAGGAGATAACAGACTCAAATGTGTCCCTTGGGCAAGGATGAGAGACCCCAGGCTTTGCAGAAAGCTTGTCCTACCCTGGCAGAGAGCTCCCCTCTGGCAGCTGGGGCAAGGGAATAGCAGTTGGGACATGGACAGCAGGGCCACGGGGAGAGGGCAGGGGTCACATTGCCCTTTGCCTTGAGATCCAAGAGGAAAGACTTTGATAAGCTCTGCTAGGATGTGCTGCAGCAAAGTACTTTTTAATGGGATCCGCTTTTGATTATTTTCATATTGGGAACCCCTCATTAGAAGCTTAGGCACCTCTAACAGCCAACTGACAACACGCTTACACTGCTGTCTGTTGGAAGAAATCAGGTTTTAATAGGGAGGATGGACAAACACATGCAGATCAGTGGTTTGAGAGATGGAGGGATCTCAGTACAAATGTTTGGAGGTACAAACTGCCAACGAGGTCAGCTTGACTAGGAATAAATTTCTTCCAAAAATACACTTGAAAAACACAGTTTTTATTCAACATTTTAGATAACACATTTTTATTTTCTGCATAAGTGATTAAACCAAACTTCTCCTAAGACCTAGTTTGCTCGCAGTCTTTTAAAAGCACTTAAATCAAATTTTAAACTGTTAAGCAGTACATGACTGTGACTGGAGGAAGCCAGGCTGTTAACGCTCTGTATCGGTTTGTTAATATAGCACAGGAAGTTGCATTATTAGCATCCTATGGTACAGATGCAGAGGATGTTTGCACTTGTTCAATCCACTTGTTGAATTTTAGCTTTATTCAAATCTGAGCTAATGAGAAGTTATTAATGTAGGAAAGCTTGGACAACCCTTCCAGTCTGTGAATATGGACAAGGCCCATGGAAGTGAGCTTTACTAGTTCTAAAATTTTAGCAGTATTTGATTGTAGTGAGTGCTGTTTCCCTAAAAAAAAATTTGTTATTTAATAAAGCTTTGTACATGCAATATGCATTTTTCAGAAGCTTTTCTTTCTTTTCTTACATGCCTAGCACAGTGAAGTTAACTTATATACCTAAATACATCTATTTGATTTTAATTGAGTAACTTTTTCCCTCTAACTAGAGCTTATCATACATCACCAAAAAATATAATAGTAATTTAGATTTAAAGAATAGTATAATCAGGTTTGCCTCAAAAAGGCCTTAAAAAATACAAATGTAATTGAAATGAAAAAATATTATTTAAATTTTTTTTCCTCTCATTGACTTAACTGATGATTAAATTTGCTTATGTAAATCAATAAATTGAATCAGACTGGTCCTGCTATGAGTTCCCCACTGTGTAGTCTCAGAGAGCCTGAAGGTAGCTGGCAGTCAAGAGAATGGAAATACCTAAAGATGTTGGTAAGGGAGGAGTTGAATCTGTCATCTTTACCCTGCTGTATGTAGCATGAGAGTTGCATTTCTGTCAGTTCTATGACCACTGAACCTAGGGTGTAAAACCATTCAGTTGTTTATACCTAGACAAAAGCAGGGTGCAAATCCAAATAAGCAAATGGGATGAGAACCTCAAATGTGATAATGTTGGCCTCAATTCAAGAACACCTGAGCACAACCCTGTCTTTATATACATAATAAAACGTGCCTGTTCCTCTTGCGGTGCTTGGGACTCTGGCACACGCTTTACGGGCTGTGCCTCAGAGCCAGGGTGGCTGCGACGACTAGAGCTGATGGGGATGTCTCTGTGCAGGGTCGACACCATCACTGGTGGCAGCCCTGCTCCATCTCACCAGGGCTTTGGAAATAACGCGTCAGAAAAGAAACATTGAGGCAGGAAAGAAAAGTGGCTCAAGCAAGTTGCATGAATTTCTTCAAAGGCAGTTTCAAGTTGTGCAGTGGATCATGGTGGTTTTGGGTTGGCACGGATGACAACTAGTCAGGGTAAAGCCATGTCCTCTTCAGGTAAATGTAGTGCCCCAAAGAAGAGCTCATGCCTACAGTGACTTTGTCTTAGACTGCTGTGTTTTGTGCTTCAGATATGTATGTTGTTCTAGAGTCCTGCTGGCTTCCACAGATTATCAGTGCCTCTGCCAGGAATGGCAACCTTCCGAGGAAAAAAGGAGATTTGTGGCAGGGGGTACGGCCTCATATGGTTCTGCTTTAAAATTGAAGAAGTTGTTGTCTTCTCCAGAAGAGCCCTCACTTTTGTGTGATAGTAAGAGCAGGCAATACTGGAACAATTCCAACCTTTGATGTGATGAAATTGAAGACTTCAGCTTATCTTCTAGATGAAATCTTTATCTGACTTCATTCTGGTGTGGTAGCTAATATTGATAGACTAGTGTGACTAACAGCAGTCATTACAGGATAGACCTCCATTGCCTGAGCAACGTCCAGGCGTCCTTGTGTGTTTACAACATTTTCTAGTGACGTTTAACAAGTGTCAACTTTTGTGCCAGAAGCAGCTGGTTCTTGATTCAGGGTTGAGTGTCTCATAAGGCATTGGCTGACAATAGTGGCAAGTCATGGTGTACGTCAGCAATGACAGTTGACGTGTTCTGTAAAGAAAAGCTCTGAGTAACACTGTGGCACCTTACACACTAGAGAAGAGCCTCAATTTTGGTTCTAGGTGAGGCTGCAAGAAGAGGCAGAGAGGCCTTGACCAGTGCACCGGCACTGTAGGGTTCCTCCTTCAATCTTGTCAGCTAATGCTCAAGACTGAGTGTGTGGGTAAGGTTGGTTGGAGGAAAAGCACTGTTAGGGCTCTTCTCTTTTCTCATGGCATTCAGTTGTACTGCCAAACAGCACAACCCTTTGGATTCCTGCTTGTCTGACTGATGCATCACCTTCTCCTTTTTCTTCTCCCTTCAGGTTATTTCCAGGATTTGTTGAACAAGTCAGAAAAGGCCCTTTATGATGCTTTTCCAAGCATGTACGGAGAATTGTACACTCAAAACATTAAGGTCTTCAAGGACTTGTACAGCGAGTTACGCCGCTATTACCGGGGCTCCAACATCAACTTGGAAGAGGCCCTCAATGAGTTCTGGACACGCTTGCTGGAGCGGCTCTTCAAGCTGATGAATCCCCAGTACCATATTACAGATGAGTACCTGGACTGCATGGTGAAACACGCAGAGCAGCACAAACCCTTTGGGGAAGTTCCAAGGGACCTGAAGGTGAAGGCAACCCGAGCCTTCATCGCGGCACGCTCCTACGCACAAGGCTTTCTTGTGGGCAGCGACGTGGTCAAAAAGGTGTCTCAGGTATGCTGGGGTTCTTATTTCTTCTCCATCCTCAGATTGGCAGAAGCCAGCCAACTACTGCTGTTGGGGAGAGGGAGGTTTTTTCCCCTTAGGTTTTCACTACAAAGCAAGCAGGTATTTTTCAGTTTTATAAAACAAACTGCTTGAAGGTCACTCATCAGTGGAAAGGAGCAGCAAACCTGGACTTGTACAGCACTGATAGCACAGAAGAACCAAGGTATACCTCACCATAAATCAGTCTTCATTTTAACCTATGCAGCAGAGCGCCAAGGAGACTTCAGTCGCCCAGGCTGCAAGGTGTTCTATTGCTTGCCTAAATTCCTCGCGCTTCCCTGGCAGGGAAATGGCGTGCCTCTAAATCACGCTGCCTTGTTCTCCTCCTTCATGGTGGTATGATGTAGGGTGTGCAGAGCTGACTTGCCACGAGTGTGCTGGGAATACACGCAGAGAGATGCATTTCAGCGGTCAGTGATGGGGTTGCTGTGTCTGTTTATGTAGCCGTGTATATTTGTACAGCTTCCGTATACAGAGAGGGTGAGTTTGTAAAGTGCATTGGGATCTTCAGGGATGAAAGGTGCTATATAAATGTAAATTTTCATGACTGAATCTAGAGTTTCAGGAGGAAGGAAATTGTCTGTATTCTTTACTGCAGAAGCAGCCTTTCAGAGCCAGAAGGTGATTGTCCTGAAACAAGATATTCAGGCTTTTCACACAGGTAGTGAGGAGAAAATCCATATTAAAAATGACTTGCATACTGCATGTGGAGATGGCAATCAGCAGGTATGAGAATTAGGGCATGATTAAACTGTGAATGTGAAAATACGGAATTGCTATTAACTTCCTCGGAAGGTAATGTGTGGTAATGTGTAGCAGAGGGTGGTACTGTTTGATGCAGCAAATCCCAGCTTTGATCTTATGAAGAAACATTAATGTGGTAACAGTGACAAATGCTGTAATTTATCAATATGGGACTATAAAACTGTTCAGCTACCTAAAACCCTTTGTACATCTCATTAACATCACACTTTCCTGACACTTAAGATAAAAGAGGAGAATGGTGTAATTTCAGGAGGGACCAAAGTTAAAATATTTTTCATAAATCCTCTGAATGGTAGAGATTTCGAGCTCAGTGTGTGTGATTCTGCCTGTTGCTGAGTTTAGTGGGTAAAGCAGGCTGGCAGAGCGACTACAGTCATGATATCAGCAGAAGGGAAGGACCTTAGATACCAACATGTAACACGTTTTTCCCCACTTTCATGTAGGCTTCTGACCCATTGGGTTTTGATTCCAGTCCTCCCTTTCTGAATTCTCCTCCTTCTCTTGGCATCACTTATCAAATGGGATCTGGGGCACACAACCAGTCACAGATCCTCCTTTTCCCTCTGCCTCCCCCCAGCCTGTTCCTGCAGGATGAAGGGTCTTCCAGGAGGGTCCCAACCATTTCTCTCTCACAAGAGCCCTGCCTGGGGTTGCAGCTGACCTGGCATGTTGCTGTTGTAGCACGATCTGCATGAACTGAGTCAGGAAACCTCAGCAAAGCTTCTCTGAAAGCTGATTTTGTAAGGGAAGCCAAAACTGGCCCATTTTCCCTGTCTTCAGGAATGGATTTAGTAGTTTAGGCAAGAGGGGTTGAGAATGCTGAGGTAGGAAATCCATTTTATGGATGCCTTGGTAGCCCTCAGCTGTATCTAAAATAAAAGGCCTGGTTTACCCTCTTTCCTTCACTAGATGTGGATTTACAGTAATGCCAAATGGATGTGAACTGCTGAATGTGATCTGCAACTGGTGCTTTGGTTTTAGTAATTTTTCATGTTGCTTTATACTTATGACATTAGCAGAAAGTGTATAAGACTTTTATTAAGATCAGAGACTGGGATTTGACTTTCCTGTCAGCTGGTAGCACTGGTCTTTAAAAATAACTCTGAGCTGAAATTTCTTAGGGAGCATCGGTGAGTGTTCCGGTCAGGAAGTCGGGGCAAAGCCTGTGGAAATGGACACATAGAAATAAATTACCTTCTGAAAAATTAGATTACTTTGGGTTTATTTATTCGCAAATCCTAGAAAAGCTTCTAATTTCTATTAAAACCCTCCTGGTTTCATCTGCTCACAGACTCCCAGTTGGGTGTTTGTCACCTGTAGCCTATCGCTGTTTCAGGTCCTTGTGCAGAGTCTGCATTACTGGGTTTTTTTTGGAAAGACTGGTGCTGATTGCCAGGTTTTCTGGCCATCTTAAAATGAGGAAGAGCCTGTCCTGACTGAGCTACAGACAGGGATTTAATGAGATTTCTTTAATCTCTGCTGCCTCTCAACTATGCCCAAGGAGCGTTTCTTATCCCACAGGAAGCCATCACTTCAGGCAGCCCTTGGCTGGTGGGTGTGCAGGGGTGGAAAGGGGAGCGGGGTGCTGGGAGCAGTCGCTCTGCGTCCTGCTGGGGATAAATAGTTTAAGGGCAGACGGGGAGAAAATGGCAAAACCATTTTTCATCTTTACTGCTGTCTTTTAAGGCAAAGTCACCCTGACAGGCTACAGGCTCTGACACCAAGATCTAAAGCTTTTAATGCTGCGGTTCCTGCCACCAGCCTGGCTGCAGGCTGACAGCGGCGGAAGCTCTGCCATCTGCACAGCGGCTGGGGGAGGGGGCCCCGGGGGCCTGGGGGACGGCCTGGGGCACACGCGTGGCTGGTGCAGCTCTTCACAGCCCAGGCAGAGCAGCAGGGCTGGGGCTGGATGTGCAGGATGGCTCCATGCCCTGGTACAGGGGGTCAGAGGTTGTAGATGTGCCACATGTGGGTGGGGGTGTTGGGGCAGCATCTCTGTGTTCACGTTCAGCTTGTGTGTTTCTGTAGCTATTCTTGCAGCATAGATTGCAGGTTTTCCCTTAAGTTGCACAACACCAAGTGCATTTTTCGTCATCTGCATGAAGTAGCAGCTACCCAAACAGCAGCGGCCAAAAAGTCCCTAGTGCAGGGCACACAGAGAAGGGCTCCCCAGCGATGCACACCTTCTGCCGCATGCCGGGGCAAGAGAGAAGAAGTATCCCAGTTTTGTTTAGGATTCTTTTCTTTGGTTGTGAGACTGGCAGCTGCCCAAAAACAGCATTTGCTGTAACTCCAAGACTCGTGTGGACAGGTGAAGGCCTTGTGCTGGAAGACTTGCTGCCTGCCAGCTGCTGCTCAGAGGCTCTGCACTTGGTGCAAGCAATGGCTGTGCTCAGCCATGGGAGCGAGAATGCGCTCCTGGAAATACACGGGGTAGGTGAATTAAAATAGTGGGGGTGGGGAGGGGAAGCAAAACTGAGATGATAAAATAGGCAAGGGCTGAGAGATAACCCTTTATAAAACAACAGCAAGAAGTCCCGAGAGACACAGCCTGATAAAGAGGAATATCCTGGCTGGTTTTGTTATTTGTTACTCACGTTACAGTACTGCTCAGGCATCCAAGTCTTAGGTCGGGACTATTGCACAAAGTGCTCCGGGCACAGGAAGCAGAGGTGATCCTGTCTGCCGCAGGGCACCCAAGAAGGGCAGGGAGACTGCACAGGGGTCCTTGTGGGCCTCCTGAATCTCAGCACCGTGCCCATGCTGCACTGAGGGACAAGGAGGAGAGCTGCCCTGTGTCCCTCAAAACATGTCCAGAGTCCTCAAATTCCTCTCAGAGACCTGGACAACCTGTGAATCTCAGCTGAGAGTGTGGAAAAAGTAAAGAAATAATGTTTCATTTCCAAAGGCAGGCATAGGAGGAGTTTTAAAATTAATTTTCCTCATCAGTCAGAAAGTGAATTATTGGTACAATCTTTGCTTTGCTGGATCTTCATTTCTTCTTGCTCCTGAATTTTAAGTTTCCCTATAGCAGCAAACACCAGCTACATAAGCAAGGAATGCTTACTTAAATAACCAGTAGTTGTTCACATTTCTTCTCACTTGAGTTTGAAACAAAATATTACTTTCTTTATTAATTATAAGCTTTTTCACTAAATTTTGTATTTCATTTTACTGATGAAGCTATCAGTACATTTTCATTTAAGCAATGTTGTGTCTCACAATATGTTCCAGCCTTATTTTTTAAACTTTTATGTTAGTATAAGGTAAATGGCAGCTTTCCTATTTACCATATGAGTAATTTTTAAACACATGGTAGGTCAAGCTGCATTTGGATGGCAACTGAATTCCAATTAAAAAGACCCCAAAATAGATTTTTTTATAAGTGTTTTTAACAGTTAAATGAATACTGTGCCAGATACATATGGAAAATAATGTTTATCTAAACGTGCTTTACATTTCAAACAGGTCAATAACATAACAAAGACAGTATGGTCATTCCTGGTCCTCATATCCCTTAAGATTACAGCCATCTCTCCTATCCTGCTTTTTTCCATAGCTTGGAAGGACATAGTTAGCTTCTGTCTTTCAGCTTCCAGTTGCTTTTCAGCTGAACTAGGCATAAAATTGATCTGACTGAATAAAATGAAGAATATAATCTCTTTTCACACACTTATGAAACCACTGTGCTAAAGCAGCTTGAGTGCAATTAATTCCTGTCCCATGTGTTTGGTGACACATCTCCATCCTTTCAGTGGCTTATCTTTATTCAGAGCATCAGTAGCAAGTACATACAACCGTAAATAATATTTTATTTCATTTAAAGGATTTCACTTTTGTAATAAAATTAAACCTTTCTCTAAATTGGCCTCCTCTTGATCCTGAAAAGACAATATTAGTGTTTGTAAACAGATGTTATAAGAATGTTGGTGAGTGGCAATATCCTCATTTCACCACATTTATTTCCTTGTCACTGACTGTTATCCCATCTCTCACTTTGGAGCTGTTCAGATTTTGCACACCAGAGAAGTGTGTTCTTGTGTTATGACAGTGACTTGACAGCAGGATGCCATTGTGCAGAGACTAGCTTTGCCCTAAGGAGCCATAAGGTGCCACAGTAAATTCTCTCTCCATATGGGAGAAGCTCTCATCTGGGACCTGCTCCCAACAAGGGAGGTAGC